CCTCCTCCTCCTCCTCCTCCTCCTCCTCCTCCACCTCCTCCTCATCCTCCTCGTGTTCTTATTCTTTTTAGTAGTATTATTCGTATTAGTAGTAGTATTCTTATTATTAGTCTTATTACTATTATTATCAGTATTCGTATTCGTATTCTTATTCTTATTAGTATTAGTATTATTTTTAGTATTATTATTATGATTATTAACACTAGTATTATTCGTAGTATTATTAGTATTATTATTAGTGGTCGTCGTCGCATTCGTGTCCGTATTCTGCTTCTTATTGTTCGCCTTCGTATTCTTATTATTATTAGTAGTATTATTAGCATTGTTATTAGTATTATTAGTATTAGTATTAGTATTATTGATCGTATTAGTATTAATAGTAGTACTATGATTACCATTATTATTATTATTGTTATTAATATTAGTATTAGTAGTAGTAGTATTACTATTATCAGTGTTCTTATTATGGTGATTCGTGTTCGTCTTCTTATTCGTCGTATTAGTAGTAGTAGTGTGTGTCTGTTTCGTTGTATTAGTATTCTTCGCATTCTTCTTAGTTTACTATTATCATTCGTATTGTTCGTATTAGTATTCTTCTTATTCGCCTTATTAGTATTCTGATTAGTCTGCGTCTTCTTCGTATTCGTCTTCTTATTATTAGTCTTCTTCGTCCTCCTCCTCCTCCTCCTCCGCCTCCTCCTCCTCCTCCTCCTCCTCCTCCCCCTCTCATCCTCCTCCTCCTAATAATCATCCTCCTCCTCCTCCTCTCCCTCCTCCTCTTTCCTCCTTCCTCCTCCTCCTCTCTCCTCCTCCTCTCCTCTCCTTCCTCCTCCTTCCTCTTCTCCTCTCTCTCTACTCCTCCTCCTCCTCCTTCCGCCTCCTGCTACCTCCTCCGCCGCCTCTGCCTCTGTCTCCTCCTCCTCCTCCTCCTCATCATCATCATCATCATCCATCCTCCTATCCTCCCTTTCCTTGCCCCCTCCTCCTCCTCCTCCTCTCTCTCCTCCTCCTCCTCCTCCTCCTGCTCCTGCTCCTGCTCCTGCGCCTGCTCCTGCTCCTGCTCCTGCTCCTGCTCCTGCTCCTGCTCCTCCTCCTCCTCATCCTCCTCCTTTCCCTCCTCCTGTTCCTCCCCCTTCTCCTCCTCCTCACCCTCCTCTATTCCGCTCATATCTTCCCTCCTCCCCCTCCAGATTAGGCGCTCTTTCTGGGGACCTTCCTGGACTTGAGCCGATCTTGAGTCGAGCTAGGGTCGAACTCAAGTCGAGCCAGAGTCGAACTAGGTTCGAGTTAGTCGAAAGGATCCGCCAGGTGGCACCCAGGAAGATCTCACCAAACGAGCGTCTGACCCAGAGGTCGGAGGCTCCGACGCCTGGCTCAGATGTCCCAGAGGCCCTCCCGGCCCCCCTGACCCTGCGACTCCCACAGCGGGCTGGCGCGCAAGCGCAGGCTTGTGTCGTCGGAGCCGAGCCCATGCCGAAGCCTGCTCAACTCGCTTCCTGGACACCTTCCCATGTCTCGAAAAAAATGCGACGATCGACTTGTCTGGGTGTGAGGGTCAACGATCGCGGGGCCCAGCCCAGGGGGGAGAACAAAAATCGACCCGGAGAAGCGGCCGCAACACTGCCGATGGATCGGCGAGGGGTCCCCGACAGCGAAGCCGCCCCTGGGCGGGGCGGGGGCATCGGACCCCCCATCGGCGATCAATGGACGATTGGGGGTCGACGCATCCCCCCCCGAGCCTACAGTCAACCCGCATAGTAAGGACGCACGAGTATGAGCATCGTTTATCCGATCCCCATCCCCAGCGGCGTGGCCTGGGCCCCGCTGGCCGATTTACCCCCATAGATGGGGATACATCCCCAGGCCGAAAGTTTTCCTCTTGCATGGGAACGCATGGGTCCATTTAGATCCAATTACGTGTGTGCAAGAGTCACGTGGATCCAATTTCCGTGTCTTCTGGATCCAAGTTTTTGGCGAGGACGCTTCGTGGATCCAATTCTTCTGCTGGAATAAGTTTATTATAATAATTCATGCAAGGGACCCAAGGTCCACGGAGCCTTGGACCTGCAGCCAGCCCAAGCTATAATTCTACGGGGGAGGGATTTCCCTACCGAGAGACACAACACACGGGGACGAGTAGGGAAACACAACCCAGGGGCGGACGAAGAGGAAGATTAGGGAGGAGACGGAGAGGAGGGAGAGGACGACGACGAGGAAGAAGAGGAGAGACGAGAAAGAGGAGGAGGGCAAACGAAGAGTCAGGAGGAGGGGAGGAGAGGGCCTGGCCACCTCTCCGAACCCCTCCCATAACATGTCGTCGCTGGAGCGCCACAGCTGCCCCGGCCAACTCCCGCAGCCTCCATAACATGTGGGTGCTCGAGCGCCACAGAGGGCCTGGCCAACTCCCGCAGCCTCCCATAACATATGCCGCACCCCACCTCGACGCAAGCGCGATATGATCGCTGCGCCCGCATCCGATACAGCCAACGACACTTCGCATGTGTCATCTGGGCCTCAAGAGGAAACTCTTTCGGCCTGCTCGAGTATAGGTCGTCCCCCTCGGGTTTCGAGGGGTGTATCCCCAACTGGGGTGGTAATTTGGTGGGGATCTCGAAGGGGATGGGGATGGGAATGGGGATCGGATAAACGATACTGAGATTAGAATGAAAGGGCCTTGTAAGGCCACTTCGAGGCTTTTCGAGCGGGGCACGGCCGCCCAAAGGGGCCGAGGCTGGGCCGAAGGGGCAAGAATGAAAGGGTGCCATTGGGGAGGTTGCCCATCCTTATTACGGTGGCGGCATTGGATAAGGAACCATTGGATAAGGAATCCAGGGTCTCGAAGCCAGTGGAACTTCGATCGTGGATTGGCCACGGGTATCACCGCCGCCCTCATGGGATCAAGAATCCTCCAGGGTCTGGCGTCTCCTGGGACTTTTCCTGAACCAACGCCTCCACCGCATGCGGGTTGACTGTACTCCCCCTCGCGTTGCCCCCTGGCCTTCGGGTCATAACTCGGCTCCCCGCCGGCCGTTCGGAACGATCTGGGCACCCCCTGGCGAGGCGCGCCCCGGGGCCGGCAAGCCGCCGAGATCCTGCGAGGGACCAGAGATGCGCTTTCTTCTTGGCTTCGTGGCTTCGTGGCTGATGCGCGCCGCGTCTGGGCGCGAGAGGCCCAGAGCAGGGCTCGACCTGAACAGTGCTGCCCGCTTCCGTGCGGTGTTCGCTTTCCCCCTCGCCTCGTCCTGCATTCGCCCCTGGTGCAAAACGGCATCGAGACGACAACGGCCCACGAGATCGCCAGAACACCATCTGTGAAGGGGCCCCAGGACACACAAATAAATACACACAAATAAAAATACTCCCCATATTTTCCCATATTTTCTGGGTTTCTGTCTTCCCGCCCACTTCCCATATTTTCCAATATTGTCTGGGGAATCCTGGATTAATTGTGTCTGTGTGTTTCTTTTCCTCCTGAATCTGGGCCCACCCCTGGCCCAGAGCCCCCCCTTCCCTGTCGCGCCCAGACGGCAAGGGCCGGCGGAGCGGAGCACCAGCACCTCGGAGCATGTACAGCGTGCCGTTCGGGAGGCGGAACAGCGCCATCCCCTCCAGCCGGGGACCTTGCCGCCCAGGGCGCGGGGGGGGGGGTGAAAGGGACCCGGGCCCCTTCCCAGATCTTCGGCGGCGTCGGGGCACTTGTCTTGGTTGGTCTGTTCAGATCAGGTCCCTTGCCGCATGTATCTGCAGCTGATGCGGGAGTCCTCCTCCTCCTCATCCTTCTCCTCCTTCTCCTCCTCCTCCTCCTCTTCCTCCTCCTCGTCCTCCTCCTCCTCCTCCTCAACCCTGGCGCTCTTCCTCGATCTCCGCCTCCCAGGGGGCCTCCCTGGGCCCTGGGGCTACATCCAGGTGGAGCCTGGGCGAGACACGGCCCCCGGGGGAAAGGGTCGGGGGCCTTGGGGTTAGGTCGGGCGTGTCCTCCTACAGGCGGATTTAGGATGAAAAATGAAACAGATGTTTCTTTTTAAAGCATGACTCAAGAATAATCAAAAGTAGTCGACAAATCGTCCCCACACCATGTCTTTACTATTTTTGAACATTCCTCCTGTAGAGGGACAGGGCCGGATTAATTCTGGCGCCGCGGATGGAAAACATCAGGTCGGAGGAGGTCTGGGTCCGCGTCGCGAAGGGGAGCGAGAAGGGGCAGCTCGTCCCAGCGATCGCCCAGGCCTTTTTCTGTTTGCGGGGAGGGCGAGCCCCGTACACCGCAGAGCCATCCGAGGGTCCCGCAGTGGCGCCCTGGCCGCCGCAAGGCCGCGGCGCACGGATGCCAACAGGCCTCGGCCTTCCTCTTCGCGCCCTCCCACTGGGAGAACGCCAGATATCCACTCGAGCACGACCAACCTCCGCCCAGCCCCCCGACGGCTACCGCCGGCTGCTTCGCAGCCCCGGCAGCCCAGGGCGCTCGCCGTGCTACGCCTTCTTGGGCTGCACGGGTGCGCGCGCCCCGGGGCTCGACTCTTTCCAGGCGAGCCGCGAAAAGCTGGCCCGCGTGCCCTGGTACACCCTGCCGTCCTTAATGGTCACGTGGCCAACGATGTTCCTGCCTAGGCCTTGGGCCCTCCGGTGCCGCTCCGCGTCGTCATAGGAGCCCTGCCACTCGAAGCAGAAGCCTCCGGCGCAGCTTTTCGGCCAAGCAGTCTCCGTTGGCAGGCTCGATGGCACAAATGACCTTGTCCCCGAGTACTCGCCCTTTGGGTGTGCACCTGGGAGCCCGAGGCTCCGTGCGCGCGAGTTCATGTTGAAGGTGCTCGCGCCAGAGTCTACGTTGAAGATCCGGTTCCGCGTGTCGCCCGCCTGGGACGAGAGCAGGCCATGGTACTCCTCGCGCGTGCGCCCCTGCTGCCGGAAGTCGTGCACCCCGAAGGTCACGCCGCCGTTTTCCATGAGCGCCCGACAGGATCTGGGGCAAAGTGACGGGCCCATCCTCCATCACCACTACCATAGGTAGGAGGAGGAGGAGGAGGAGCAAGAGGAGGAGGAGGAGGAGGAGGAGGAGGAGGAGGAGGAGGAGGAGGAGGAGGGCCTGGTCATCCTCCCGTCGCCCTCGTCCTGCATGTGGTAGGTGGCAGTGGCGGCGGAGAACTCACCCGTCACAAAGGGCAGCAGAGCGGCAAGTGCGGGGAATAATTCGAACACTGACGGCTCCGGCCGCAAGATGGCCGCGAGGAGGAGGAGGAGGAGGAGGAGGAGGAGGCGGAGGAGGAGGAGGAGGAGGAGGAGGGAGGAGGAGGAGGAGGAGGGAGGAGGGAGGAGGAGGAGGAGGAGGAGGAGGAGGAGGAGGAGGAGGAGGAGGAGGAGGAGGGAGGAGGAGGAGGAGGGAGGAGGGAGGAGGGAGGGAGAGGGAGGAGGAGGAGTAGGAGGAGGAGGGAGGAGGAGGAGGAGAGGGAGGAGGAGGGAGGAGGGAGGAGGAGGAGGAGGAGGAGGAGCGGCGCGAGCACCCGGGCCCTTGAGGAGGGCAGAGCCGGCGAGGCCGTGGCCTCGCCAACAGAAGAGGGGGCCGGCGGGGGGCGGGCCCACGCGGAGAGCGTGGCGTCGGGGAGGCGCCGGGAGTGGCAGAGGTCACGACGGGCGGTCCAGGTGAGGAGGTCAATCGGTCGCTATATCTGGTGTATATATATATAGAGATATGTACACATATATATATATATATATACACATATATTATATATATATGTATATGTATATATGGAACCCGTTCGAAGCCGAGCTCACCTCAGTGGAGCGGGGCCTCGAGGGAGTGATCGCACGCACTGTTGGCGGGGATGGCGGGACGAGCAGATCTGAGTAGCACGGCGTAGTAAGATCGAGTCGCATTGTGGGTGGCTGCACCTTGGCCCAACGGTAGAAGAAGAAGAAGAAGAAGAAGAAGGTGAGGAGAGCAATGATCGTGTTGGAAGGAAGGGGGTGGGAGGATGACGGGCATGGGCAACAGCATTCGGATGCCATGCGCGGTACCTTCGACCGCCCAGGGGCAATGACACCCCCATCTCTCCCAACCCCGTCCTCCCAACCCGATGACTGTCTTCCTGATGACGGCCGATTTCGAGCTCCGCGGAGGCCCTCGCCAAGCTCCGGGACAATCAACAAACGAGTCGGGAGGTACGCAAAGCCGGTCCATTGGGCAGCGGTCTAGATCTCCGAGGGTCGACGCTGTGGAACAGATCAAGACGTGGGGGCTCTGGGGTGGGAGGGGAAGGGGGGCCGAGCAGGGAAGAGGAAGATGGAAGACGAGGGAGGGAGAAATCAGGGGGGAGAGGGAGGAGAGGGGGGAGAGAGCGGGGAGAGAGGAGGAGGGACAAGCCAGGTACTCTCGCTCCACATCTGGCATCCTACCGCTCCCACCCATCTCTTCACATTTCGCTGATTTTCTGCATCCGCCGGCGGGTGTCATAGTGGACCTGGAATTTCAAAGAAAACCTCATCGTGTTACGCGGAATGGGATAACGGAAACTGCGTGCATTGCAGGAGGAGGAGGAGGAGCAGGAGGAGAAGCAGGAGGAAAAGCAGGAAGATGAGGAAGGAGGAGGACGATGAGGAACAGCAGGAACTGGAGTAGAAGGAGCGGGAGGGGCAGGAGGACCAGGGGAAGGCAAAGGAAGGAAAGGAGAGGGGCGACAACGGTGAGGAACGGCTGGGGTCCAGACAAGTGGCCCGCGCTGTCGCGACAGCGCCATTCTGAACGACGGGAGGAGAGCCCCGATCCCAAAAGTGAGGCCCACGCTGCAGCGAGAGGGCCGTTTTGGAAGGACCGAAAGTGCTCGGACGGAAAGAACGAGCTGGAAGACCCCGATCGGGGACCCATCTCGTGTGCACGACCGCCACGCGCGAAGGCACGGAGGGACGCGCGCCACTCTCGGGAGCGAGGGTACACCCCGCGAAATGCTTAAGAAATCTTGGGTTAAGAAATTCATAGTCTCAGATCTTGAACAAAAACCCAAGATTTATATCAAACTCTTAGGATTTACATTGAAACATTAAGAATAATCGAGACTCTGGCCGAAAACTTGAGTTGTCTTAAGCATCGCCCAAGGTGTAATCGTACTCACACTGCTCACTGGTGGACGAATCGTGGGAGGGACGGGAGGGGGAGCACGGAGCGCGGCCCGCGGCCTGCACCGCGGAGGTGGGCGCAGGGGCGGGGCCCCGGAGAGCTCCCGGGGAAGCGCCGGCGCGTCAAGACGGAGTGGACCGAGCGCGAGGCGGGGACAGATCACCGCCTGTGGAGGCGACATCCCAGATGTGGCTATATTTTGGCCCAGGGGCCGCCCTTACAGCCACATCCACCGCCTGCCCAGGGTCCCCGAAGGTCGATCCCTCGGGCGGTGGTCATGGATAAATCCCCGCGTCGGAGCGTTCTGGGAAGCGGGCCTGGTCGAACGAGAGGGGGGATTGCAGAGAGCCCGGGTGGCGAAGAAGCTCACGCAATGTGAGGTCACTGGACGAAGAACCAGTGGATAAGGCGTCCAGGGTCTGAAGGCGTATGGAACTCCAACCGTGGATTGGCCATAGATCTCACCACCGCCCTAATTAGATAAGGAGTCTTCCAGGGTCTGAAGCCCCCTGGGCACATTGAACGAGGCTGGTTGACCGCTGATTGGTAGATGTTCGAAAAGGTGCGAACCCGATGGAAGTCATCGTCGGAGAGATGAGCACGGGTGCCCGAATCGGAGACAAAGGAGCCAAACTCGGAGAGATGGGAGCCAGAGTCGGAGGGACGGCCATGGAAACCGGAAACGGATAGCTGGGAGTCAGAGTCGGAAATATGGCAATAGGGGTTCTGGGGTGTCCGGGGGTTAGAAGCTAGAAGGGCCGACATCGGCAAAGGCTGGAGACAAGGGCGCAATCGACGGCCCTCTCATATATCATACCGCTGACATGCCCTCCTCCTGCTTCCGATACTCCTCGTCTTCCTGCTCATTCTCCTCTTCATCCTCATTAACCGGACTCCTCCTATACTCTTCATCGCACTCCTCCCCTCAATTCTCCGCATCCTTTTCCTTCTCCTCCCCATTACCCTCATTATCATTATCTGAAGAGGGAAAAGAAAACATAAAGAAGCCTATGCGCTGCAATCCAGGTGATGCACTCAATGTGGTGCAACTTAGGTGGTACAATCCATGTGGTGCAAACATATGCGGCGCAAAGCAACGCAAAACAGTGCAAAGCAATGCAAAACAGTTCAAAGCAACGCACATCAGTGCCATGCAGAGCAGTGCAAAGCAAGGCAGAACAATGCAAAACAGTGAAATGCACAAGCAGTTCAAGACAGTGTACAGCAATGCACAGCAGTGCAAATCCATGCAATGCAATGCCACGCGGTGCAGAGGCATGCAATGCTGAGCCATGCAAAAGCAGTGCAGCGCAATGCAACGCAATGCAGCGCAATGCAGCGCAATGCAGCGCAATGCGATACGACGATATTGCAACGCAGCGCAGTACGATCACGACGCAATGCGGTCGCAGTGCAGCGCAGTGTGCTTGCAGCGCCGCGTGCTGGCAACACGGCGGGCAGCACGACGGGCAGCAGGGGGGCGGCGACGGACGGGAACGGGGCCGCCGGTGCCGCACACGGGCCCGGCTCCCCAGAAGGTAAAAGAGAACCTCCAAGTGCAAGCACCGTTTGGGATATATATATATTATGAATATATATATATATATATATATATATATATATATATTATATATATATGCACATATATAATAATAATAAGTTGATGAGTGCGAATGCCAAGATCAGGTCACAAGCAACAAATCAGCAGAGCTTCGTGAAGGACTCCCGCAGATGCCGTCCAGAGTATCGCAGCGCAGGTGGAGCGAAGGAGGGGGAAACTCCCTTTAGGGCTACGGAGGGTGTCTGGGGCGTTCATAAACGAGCGTGGGCATTCGGTGAAGCTGCTTACGGGGCCACGGAACGTGTGAAGGGTGTGCCAAAATAGGCGTGGGCACGTATGAGGACCCTCACTGTGGCCTTCGGTGGAGCCCCTTAAGGGGCTGCGACATGTGTGAGGGGCGTAAAGATAGGCGCGGTACCACTTGCGGACCGTGCCAATCCCGCCTTCGGTGGAGCTCCCCATGGGGCCACGAAGCGTGAGGGTTGTGCAAGAATTGGCGTGGGCAAGCATGTCAACCCTTGCACTGGGGCCTTCGGTGGAGCTAAACGCGTGAGGGGTGTGCCGAAGTAGGCGTGGGCTCGCATGCGGATCCTGCCACTGGGGCCTTCGGTGGAGCTCCCTTTATGGGGCTGCGAAATACATCGGCCCAATGAAAGTTCCTGGAATTTTCATCACGACGCTGGCCGGCGGAAGTCGACGGAAGTAAAACGAGGCGGAAGACGGGGGAAGGCCGCCGGAAGGCTTGCCAATGTCAGCGGAAGTCAACGACGCCCCTTCCGAACCCCCTACCCCCGTAGAAGCCTAGCAATGTTGTCTTCCTCCGTGGGCCGGGCGGGATCCCGCCTGGCTTATTCCGCTTTAATATTATAAGTTTAGTTCAGGACGATCAAAATCCCACCCATTAAAAATGGGGTAGACCAAAATCCCGGGGCGTTCACGGATCCCACCATGCTGGGATCGGCTCGAAGTAAGATGGGGCTCATAAGTTGCAGTATTATTGCCGTGTTGGGGTCGTCTTGAGGTCATCTTGAGATCAGATCCCGGTCATATTTGGATCACGCAACCATCGCGTGGTCATTATGAGGCCACCCTGGGTGCGCTTGGAACCATCTTGTTGCCATCGGGCCATCTCGGCGTCACGCGTTGCTCATGTGTTTCGCCACCTGCGAGTCGGCCTGAGACGGTCCAGAATCCATGGCGGGATCGCGTTGGGGTGGCATCATCCTGGGTCCTCTGGACGTTATCGTCCGTGGCCTGAGGCATTCCTGGAAGCATGTTGTGGCCATGGGACGTCTTGGGATCGCGTGCGTG